CGGTTCAACTCAGGTAAAATCTATCGATTTAACGTCCACAAGATCATGAGTAAAGAGGGCTCTTCTAGATAGCAGGACGGTGGCTAGCCCGAATCGATGAACAGATTCAGTACGGCGGTTGCACTAATGACAGCACAGGTAAGGTTACCTTCAATGAACACGGAATTCATAGAGACTGATGGAGCTCTTGAAGGGTCGATGGAGCTGTCGCAGCAATACGGCAACATGCTTGGTGGATTCGCACTGAACGTGACTGGGCCCTGTCTTCGCCCGACAGACGTCATCAAAATGCAGTTTGACGAAATTACGGTGGATTGCGAAAGGGTGCGTTTTTAATGTAGTTTCAGAAGTCTGTGGCTTGCTGAACGTTGATAGGATTGACTGCAGCCCTTCAGCTTTTGGCAACAAAACATCATGAACATTTCAGGTCGATATGGTTATGGCTCGTTGCGTGATTCCGACCAATAGCGTCTTCAGAATTGGCTTTGTGGACGTGAAGTTATCGGTGGACGCTGGAAAGAACTACCCGTGGCACACCAAATTTTACATAAGTGCGTCTATAATAATGTTTTTGGATTGGGATTCGGCCGGCTTTAGCAAGTAGCTCCTTGACTTCCTTCTTCACTTTTGATGGTTCAATGCCTTCTTCGAATACCAGTCGAAGAACAATACTTTTATTGTAATCAGCCAATATACAGGTGACGACCAATAATTGAACAAATAGGCGACAAGGCCGAGAAGAAAGCAGAAAGTTTGCGAGCTGAAGCGACTGAAGCAAGTCTAGCGAACTAAAATCTGATCCCATACCCAACTGTATATGTATGCTTCCTAAACGCTACGTGTGTTCCCCGCTTGTGGCGAATATTTTCTTCGACCGAGTAGCGGGTTTTATTCTGCAGAATTGCGACACAATCGCGATGGCCGATGAGCTCGAAGTTGACCTCATCAGGATGTCAGCAAGTAAGTTACGCGCAGGATGCAGACATAGCGTCCGTCGGTAGGTGGCCTCCAAGTGCCCAGATCCGCAAATCTCCGCCTGAACCCCAACCTCATCTTTACTCTAAGTTTACACTTCAAAGGTCCTGTGCTGCTCCTTCAGAGGTGAAAAATCCCACTATTCGGGTAAAAGAGCATCATGCAAACTCCAAGTTCTTCTGATTGAAGCAACCACGTAGCCTTCGGGCGCTCATGGTTATGGGCAGAGACGTTCAGAACAAGGCATTTTAACCGTTGGTAAATGACACTGGGACTAAGCCCAGGAGAGGAAAAACGCTGAAAGAAACGAAAATTGCTTACATCCATCCAGAGAGTCCCTACCCCTCCCTAGCAGGGCATAGTTCGTAGTACTAAAGCGGCTCACTATATGAAATGCCCCCCCCCTCCCCCAAGCGACAAACGCCTAGCCTTGAGATATGCAGTGATCTGTGCTGCCAGTAGTTTCGCTTAACCTCTCTCTGATGGTATCGTTTAGTACAACCTGGTCTGGCACGGCGGCGAGTGAACTTGATCAACGATCCCAGAGAGCCGATGAACAACTGGAACTTCTATGATCCACAGGTATCAAGGCTTAGGAAGAAAAATGTGGAACAAATAATGAGACTGAAGAAAAATCGGGATCATGGAAAGCATATTTCTCATTAAGAATTTGACGTTGTCCTGGGAATGGGAGAACATTACTGCAAACACAAACACAGCCGTCGACATCGCACTTTGGGGCTACTGGGAGGATACCGAGGGACATTCTTTCAAGCAGGTGAGTGGTCACTTTCATGCTTGAGGGTTGGTTATAGAACAGTACTGTTTCAGATCGGTTATATAGCGAAGAGGCACCCCAATACCGGAGTTCTCTCGTTTTCGCCCCGTAATTTGGAGGTGAGCCATGTTTCTCATAGTGGTTGATGCCGACCCAAGCACATGGAAAATTCAGGTTGACCTCGAAGGAGATCTCGATGCATGGCGATTTTTCCAAGGAGGAGTTATTCAGGTGCGAGCGTCGGACACATGGTTGGAAGACCGCGGAGACAGGTGAGGTACATACTCGTTTTAGAAGCAAGCACACCATGCGAGGCAATCTGGAAGGAATGGCGAAACTATGAAAAGCACTTAAAAGATATATTATCGCGTAGTGCGTTCTAGTTCTAGCGGACTCCTTTTTCTTTGGATAAAGTGGTTTTTTTGTTTGCAGCAGCCAATGTTGCACTGCACCTTGTTTTATTTAGGGGCAGGGGTGATGTAGTGACAAGAAGAACTAATTGGCATGAGGTACAATCGGGTGATAGCTCGGTTCCACGAAGTCCCGAAGAAGATGTGAGGTTGGAGAAGAAAAGGAAATCAACTGCTATTTGTGGGCGGGGCATGCAATTAAGTGGGCGGAGTTTGCCGCGTTTTTATTTCATTGACCTCATTATTTGATCCAGGGATAGTACAGGAACGGCGAAAAGTAAGATAGGGGTTTGGCAAAGAAGGACGCGTCAAATAACATTGGTGCCAGATCGGATCCCATCCAGGCGAGGTAGACATCCTATTCCTCCTGGGTCGGTTGGTCAATTCCAGACTTCCAGGGGAGTAGGAACGCTGACTTTTTACATCGGATTGGTTCCGTAATAACTTCGTATATAGATGTGTAGACGTCAAATCGCCATACAAATTACACGATGATCGGATGGAAGTAAGAGTGCCATTGGCTCAAATCAAGCATCGCTATGGTCAGACTCAATCACTCGAATGTATCTCACTGGTGGACTAAGTGTGATCGTGATGAAAATGAATCAAATGAGGCAGCGCATCTTTGTATGCAATAAATAAACAAATAAATTATCAAATGTACCATTCGTCAGAATGACATAATAATACAAAAATGAAGACTTTCGTAAAAGTCTAATTTCCAGGATGCACTGGTCGATGCCGGTTCCCTTTGGATGGTTTTTCTACCGAAAATGGGAATACGAGTATGGCCGGGACTGGGCCTTGCAGGTGAAACACCTTGATCTTAACATTCTTGAAAACTTGTCACTATTGAGCGACCTCCTTTGGCTGCACAGTAGTCATCTGAGAAAATGAAGTTTCCTTTACAGATGTGTCAGCACTGGTTCGACTACGACGGTAGACGGGAGAACTTCGTAATGGAACTCGAACCTAAGAGTATGTTGTTATGTATTCGCTCTTATGCACCTCTTTTTTAACACCTTCAATAGGGGATTCAGGCCACAGAACTTCCTGTAAGCGACAAAAAGTCAGTTCTCACTGAATAAACAAGTTCATGCCCTCAAAAGGAGCAGAAACACGCAATAGTTCAGCAATTGAACGCTAAGAATGTCAGGATAAATACGTGGTTCATGGAGGCCCGGCTAGTAAAAAATGAAGATATAATGTCTGTGCACACATCCGTCGTGAGAGTTTCTGCGGCGAAAATAGCGTTCACGGCGATTTAGCGTTCGCAGCGGGGTCAGCTGTCCACTTACACTGTTCGAGCGAGGGGGTTGCGTTTGTGGCATTGGGAATGTTGCTTTGGAGTTGAGTTACTTAAAGGCAAGATTCGGGATAAAATAGGTGTCTAAAAGCGTTCAGTCATGATACTAGAGGTGGGAGGTGGTCTATAAAAGAGAAGGAAAGCAAACGAAATCACAGATTACGCCCCGTACAGAAACCTCCCCTATTTCAGCAACATTCCACCTTGGGATAGAGAAAAGGCGCGTTGGACGAGTTTCGCGAGCCTGACTCTAGTTGCTCCAGTGCCATTGACACAGGATCGCGGTGGGACCGCTGCCTCAAATGCGCCCGCGCTTTTCAAGCAGCGCCACGTGGCAACGGACAGCGGAGGGTGGGGCTTGCGGACAAAGGTGTGAGTTGCAGATCGGACGAGCTGCTTGTGCCTTTGTCGCGCACTTTCAAGCGGCAAAAGGGGTGCGACAACAACACTTGTCCGCCTGCCTACTACCCCCGGGATGGAAGAGGCAAGCGCGCCTAATCGTGGAGCGTGCCTTTAAACTTACCTTCCAGAGATACACGTTGCGACGGATAACCGGTCCGAAGAGGGCCGTGTTTGTGAGAAAAATGCGAGTTTGGAAGATCTTCCAAGATTGCCGGCAGTTTTGCTGAAAAATTCTAGGACGTGCGCGTGGGGAATGGCAAACATGTGGATTTGTGCTTACTATAAAATGATATCCCTCCCTCCCACGCCCGAGGGGTGGTGAGACATGCACGTACACAGAAATGTAATGCCGGGAGCCATTCTCATAGGCATTATGACATGTGATGGGGGTCGCACCAAGACCCTTAAAGGGGTTGCTGCAAAAAAAATTTGAAAAGTGCAACCACGGTTTGACCACATGCGACCAGTTATACAAAATTATTGCGACGAATTGCCACGAGCATCGCTCCAGACGTCGAATGAATAGCAAATGAGTTGTCGACTGAGATGTTGCTATCATCGCTGCCGTTCAATTATTTAGAGCCACTCAAACAGGAAGGATCCACGATCAGGAACGAAGTCGGAAGAAGGCGAAGATAATGCCTTAATGGAGACAGGCCGATCTTCAGAAGGTGAACCAGCCACTGCAATTGGCAGGCGAACGAGTGGACTCAGCGACACCCACGAATGTAGCATGGCTTACTTCTTGGCGCACTGGGCGGGCGTACCACCAGATACATCTTAATCACTCGAAGCAGTTTCAATACACGATCGATGACGGTATAGCAGACAGACAGGCAGAGCATGAGACGTTCGAAAAGGCAGCACAACGCTGAATCGCATCAGTGGCGGTAAATCAAACGCGCAAGGAGGAGAAGGTCCCATTTACGGGTCAAAGCAAACCAAGCCCTTTATGGCGTTTCGCGGGGACGTATGACCGACACAGTGGCAGGGATGCGCGTCCCCAACCGAGGATCGACGGGTTGGTACGATAGGAGAGTACTGACGCAAGTGGTGCAGCTGGTCCAGCAGCTCCGCCAGAAGGGCTGGTTTGCTCACCCCAGGACTAAGCCTTGGAGAGGGGACGGACCCGTCCTCTCTTTAAGGCTTAGTTCTGAGGTGAGCACCAAATTGTGGCGGTTCTAAGGACCGAGTTGAAGTGGTCCGTCCACCGTCGGGGACTCCATCCCCTCCCCAACATTCAGCATACGGTCCCAGCCGAAGCGCCAAAAGGGACATAGGTTCCTTACTACCCATTTACCGGGTTTTGGACCGTATCATGTGGTTTCCTTCTTCTTTGTCTTCTAAGTAATTTGAAATAGGTTACTTTTTCATCACAAATTGTGCCTATTGATTTCAGCTTCTTAAGCGCGTTAGCAGCTATCGTCTTCCAAGGCACGACATTGTGGCATTGTTCGGCCTAGTTCCCAACCCCTAGTTTCATTTTTGTCAAGCGTCTCAATCAGTTTATTCAGCTCTAGCTAGAAGCTTATAGAATCTAATAACTATAGGCCGTCGATTTCCTTCCATAGATGCTTATTATGACAGATTTTTCCAGTTCCATGTCCATGCACACTTGATCAAGCACTTCTGGACGTCGGCCGTTTCACCGCTTTGCCCGATTGCGACATGTTCGGCGACCATCGATGTCAATATACACAAGGAGCTCAACACTGCGTCCTTTCTGCAGCTAGTGTGTATGTGGTTGTTTATATCTAACAAAATTGAACAAGGTCACATAAGGGCTGTCAATTTAAAAAGAGGCTGTAGTTGTATTTTGAAGTTGAAAACAGAGTGGTTGAATGCCGGGGGTAAAAATTAAGTCACCCGGCAATGGGACCAGTGAGTTTGTTTTTTGGCTTTCATTTCCAAATTTTTGTTATTCCTCTTTTGAAGGAAGATTACCCGATAAAGTCCTTAAGGTGCTGGTGAAAAATGCGTGTTTGGCAGCGAAGAGTGTTTCCCCAACGGCCTAGCAGAGCCAAACCCACCCTCTTCGCAACGAGGCACGCCCACCCTTTGGCCGTCTGACTCTGGCCGTTTAACAGAGACAGCGCTGGCGTAAGAGAGCAGCACTATTGAGAACTCTAACGCATACCTCAACGAGCAAAAAGGAGTTCCATTTCACGGGATCTGGCGGTTTCACATGGTTTCTTTTTCATCCCTGCACCACTGTTTACCTCTACCTTGATTTCTAATGAGCTGTCTTTTCTTGTGCTTTGCCTTCACCAATGAAATCTGTGTCAACACAATGGGCTTTTCGATTTCGAAGCTTAGGCGTCTCCTCATAGTTCGTCCAGAGAATTAGCCGAATGAAATCAAGGCAAACGATTTCGTAATTCGCTACATAGGCTGGCTTTTACGGTTAGCGGAACGTTTTCAGGGCCCTTAAGACATGTCCAGGTGCAATGAACGCTGGGTAGTGTCCCCTTGTTACTGACTGTAGAATAACCATGCTGTTCTGGATTCGCACTCGCTTCAGATGGACTGGGAGCGGCCAGAACGTGCGCTTATGACGTGGGATTACGCTTGGTGCTGATGTTTCAATGACCGGGACTTTTGAATACCACGATCAATACTTTCCGCTCTAACTGCGCTGCGTTTCCCAGTACCCAGTGAGCTTTTAGAATGGGATGTTAATGAGTCTTGTTCAGCACGAGCATTAATGGGCAGGGGCATGAAGGTAAGAGGATCCGACGCGGGGGGGGAGATTAAATTATAAATACTATTCGCCAGGGCATTATGCTAAGGGATCCCGTCCCTCTGCATCGATTTCCCGCCCACTCCATGGATGCCCTTTCAAGGCTTGGCACCTCCCCCCTGTTGTCTCAAACTCCACGGTGCCCAACTTACATGAGCCCTTCTAGACATTCCGCGCCGCCAGATAAAGCACTATATCACCATTTCCACGCCGTGCGTCCCCGCTTCCCGCAGCTCTGCCTCATTGCCTTTTACGCAGGGTCGGCCGCCAACCCGTTCACACCAACCGCCCATCCTTGTATGTTGCATACCATATCCCCGTCACAAAACCCCTTATCTTCACATACATATACCTACCCTATTCTAGTTGTCCCGAAAAACCTGCTCTCGCAAATTCGACCAGCGTTCACACTGCCTGACCCTCTAACCACTCTTCCGACGACGTCAAACTAGTAGCCTGCCAACCAGAGAGTACCCCGCATCCCCCGGGCCCCATCACTTATAGGCCAAACCCGCTGCCTTATCTGCCCCCCACAATCTGGTAGTCACCAGACTGTTTGCGCCTTTGACATAACAACCAGCTAACATGACGGGGCCCATATACTGCTCTCTAAAGAAAACTCTCACCAAGCAGCACCCAACCATTCACACAATTACCACTGAACGCTCATACCTCGCTCTCGGAAACGCCTCACGTTATAGCGTCGCGCCGGCATTTTATATACCATTCTACCCTTGCTCATGAAAAAAGGATAGATAAGATCAACTCTTAGCTCTGATCAGTCCCTCCATTTGGAATGTGCCACGCACTCGATTCCCACCAAGAATCGTTGCCGGTTAGCGATGATAATACTAATAAAATCTCAAATTTAGGCTATGTCTATGGAGAAAATCATTTCACGACATTCGACGGTTCCAAGTACTCGTTCCATGGCAAAGGTCATTACATTCTGTCGATGATGAAATCGCCACGTCCACGACTTCATGCTCCAAGCACGATTGGAGCAGCCACCAGAAACGTTGTGTAGGTGAAATAAGCACATTGCTCTTAATGTGGTGGAATTTGATGCATTTAGGGGAAGAACGCGTGCGTTCAACAGTTTTGACCGGTTTGGCGGCCAGAGACAATCATTCAGCAATAGTGCAGGTAAAAGTACAAGTATCTGCAAAAGATGTTTGCAGTTTTACGGAACAATGACGAAGCATCGTAGTGGGTAGTCTTCTGGCTTGCGCCACGCATTCGCCTTGAATCGGAGTAGAAGAAACGCTGAAAGGGTTGATGTCTTTCACCATCATCCCCGTAGTGAGTGTGCATTAGTGACCCCAAGGACCCCAAGGAGATACAGAGAATGCTTGGCAGATTTGGGATGGGTAAATTTCTCAAACAAATAGTATTCATATCCAAAAAATAGAAAAGATAACAAAAGAATAACTCGGAGGAGGCAGACAAATCTCTGTGACAGAATTAAAAGCACGAGTCGTGAAGGATGCTTACAAGTAAGAATTGATAATTGATTAATTAACAATTGATCAATCCTCCAGCCAACTGTAACAAGATGTGAACCTTTACACGTGCCTCGAGATACTTTTTCCTATGAATCGCTTAATACGTGGCCACAGCAAAGCGCCTTTCCATACGTACCCTTTTTCCCGCCCCCCCTACCCTCTACCGTCCATGGGTGTGGTTTTCGTGGGTTTGTTTCTCTTCGGAAACTGAATCTTCATGCGTGAAACTTTGTATGTTGTCTCTAGTGATCACAACTGACATATTCATGTTGGGAAAATGCAAGGATTTTCCGCAAAGGATTCCTTTAAAACACTTCTGGGGCGGAAAGGCTTCGCACAAGGGTCTTGAAGATCCTTCAATAATTCTATACTCTAGAGAAGCTTGTTCATATATCTTTCACCTGTTCTGATTCGAGGTGTTCGCTCGCAAAGACCATCGACGCTTGGCGGTATCGAACTGATGTCTTCGTCGATGGCGAACGCATATTCTTCGACATGCCGTGGAAGAAAATCCAATTGTTCAAAGGTAACTGAACTCCCGACTTTATGGTTCCTTTTCTATGATTCCCAATTTAGTTTCGAAGAACCGTGAGTCATGATGCCGAAACATTTAGTCTTTGTGCCTACCATTATTCTTGTGCAGAAACCACTGTTTAGACATGAAAAGCTTGTTCTTGTTTATCAGTCGCGTTTCGTTGCATTTAGCTAGGTGAAAGTTGTCGCAAGGACATTGAGCCTCAAATAAAGCCTTTGTTGTTTGGTGGACTCAAGCCCTTCCTTAAGTGCCCACAGAGCTCGCAGCTTACGCGGCCGTAATTTCGATGCGTAACCTAAAGCTCTCCGTGGTGAATATTTGGAATTCACACCATTTTAGGCGTAACAATTCGTTCTCCACCACGGAACATGAACCAGTCGGAGCTGGAAATCATGTTCGCCTCAGGAGCAGGTCTCCGTGTTGAGGAGAGCCGCGGCCTTCTGAATGTGGTTGTTGCGCTACCACAAGGATTCAGCGAAGTCGATGGAGTGAGCCGATTGTTGAACTCAAACTTGTCATCTAACAACTCTTCCCCTTCCACCATCAACTTCATCACTTCTGAAC